AACCCTAAACCCCAAACCCCAAGAACTAAACCCCGGCTCGGAACCCATGTTCCCTTCCCCACCCGCACGAAGCTTCAAGCCAAAGACCTCAACTCAAAACCCGAAGCCCTGAAGGCTAATGTAGGGGCCTTCATAATNNTAATTAGAATAGGGCTCTGGGGTTTTATTAGATTGTAATTATGATAAGGAGCCCCCCGAAAAAGAATAGGAAATTGTTAAGGCCCCCAAAAGAATAGACCCGAGAGCTAACCAAAACCCTCGAAAAAACAAAGCCTCTCCACAACAAAGCCTCAATCGCCAAAGCCCAAGCCCTAAACAAAGCCCAATCTAGTGTCGGAATAGTTCGTACCATACCCCCATTGCAGTCGCCAAAACTCTTAACCCGTAATCCCCCTGAAGCCGTAAGTGCCGTGTAGAATTCCTAATAAGACCCTGTAGCAAACCCGAAGCTCCTTCATATAGAAAGCCTGCGAAGGAGCCATGGGCGGCCGCAGGCCCCGCTGACGAGATGTGGTTTGGGTGATCTGGCTTCATGCGGAAGCCTAAATCCTCGCGCCAGGAGACTGGTGGTGCTGCACATGTTGAAAATCAAAACATCACACCATCAAGAGAAATGCTGGACCTTGTCAGTTTTGGGTACAGGATGCAGATCGCAGGTTTGCAGAATTTTTGCGGTCATGGTTGCCTTTTTGGCAGGCTTCACGCCCGAAGACAACTCTTTGGCGGCCGTGATCACCAATCCAAACCTAATTCGCAGCAGGCCGGCGGGGGAATGGTGTGGCAAAAATCGGGACAGATAGTATGGAATTTACCAGCTTGTGGTACAGGATGTAGAATGGTGAGGCTTGTGGTTGGGGCTCAGGGATTGCAGGTGCGATTCGTTCTTTTTTGTGCGGCGCGTCTTCAGCAGGAGTCGCACAGAGGGTGGGGCAAAATCCCACCGCAACAGCAGTCGTAACGAATCAGGGTTTGGGAGTTTCATGAAATCATGGACCCCAATTATTATAAGTGTGCCAGTAGTAGTATGCTTGATACAACAAGCTACAGAGAAGGTAGCTTTCAGAAGAAGTCCATTTGCAGAAGGCGCACGCAACGCAGAACCCAAGGAATGGTTGAGAGCATGGTAGAGCATGGTCTTGGCGGGAAAGTTTCCTTAAAGTTTTGGCCCTATATACACCGATGTTTTGATGACCCAGGGCTTCGTATTGAACCCTACAACACCCTTCTATGCCAGTTGTGAGGATCCTACAACCCCCCAATGGACCCTAGAATGCAACCCTACAGAAACCCTAAACCCTACACCCTACAGAAACCCTATTGAAACGAACAAGGTCTAGGAGAACTGAGAAACCTGTACAAAAAGCCCTCGCGGAGTCCTTGAAAGGTTCCTTTAAGGTCCTCTCAGGGGTCCTTCAAGGGGGGTCCCCTCAACGGATCCTTTAGGGTCCAGGGTTTAGGGATTAGGGTTCCAACTATAGGACTGCAATCCCGAAACCCTGCATTTTGGGGATCTGAGAGCATCGCTGAAACCCCCTTAGTTGATTTAGGACCCTAGAAGAGCCCTTACAAGGCCATGTTGAACATTTCCTTCGAAGTACTGAACCCACCCCCAACCAAGTTGGGTATTAGGGGATCAACTTCATTAGGGCATAGGAGGCTAGTTATAGTTGCCTGCATCCCAGACACTTATACTTTTTATTTAGACACCTTTGTTAGGGGACTGCAGCAGGACACCCTTGCGAGAGCCCGGGTAGGAACCCTTTGTACAACTCCTACAAAAACATCTGAAGCGAAGCAGAAGCCTTGAAGCTTACAATCCACAATGTAGACCACCCGTACAGAGCGACCGTATTGCTTTCTTCTTCAATGGATCAACACCCCCTTTGAGAGATTAGATTCGAAGGGCAGCGTGTAAAGGGTACACCCTCACAACCCTTCACCCTTTGCCTTGCCGAAACCTAGACTACTAGGTTTTTAGGCGTCCTTATTATGGTCTCCTTTTACAAGTCCTTCGTCCCTTTAAAGGTTGGCCATTTGGGGCTAGGGCAAGCCCTGAATCCCTGCTAAAAAAGTCATCAAACCCAAAACCTAAACCCGAAACCCAAAATCCAAAACCCTAAACCCAAAATCCAAAACCCAAAACCCTAAACCCAAAACCCAAAACCCAAAACCCAACACCCTAAACCCAAAACCCAAAATCCAAAACCCAAAACCCTAAACCCAAAATCCCAAATCCAAAACCCTAAACCCTAAACCCTAAACCCTAAACCCAAAACCCTAAACCCTAAACCCTAAACCCTAAACCCTAAACCCTTGAAAGGCAGCGCCTCCGACTCCCGGCATTCGTCCCGCGGGGGCGCGGCAGTGCCGAGCGGCGGCGCATCCAAGCGGTCCGGGCCCTGACGAAGCGAAGCAACACCTTGACAGCGTTTAGGGTTTAGGGAGTAGGTTTTAGGGTTTAGGGTTTAGGGTTTTAGGGTTTAGGGTTTAGGGTTTAGGGTTTTAGGGTTTAGGGTTTAGGGAGTAGGATTTTGGGTTTAGGGTGTATACGGTTTGGAGTTTGAGGGTGTAGCGTTGACCAGTTTTGAGGTGTGAGGTTTGCTTTGGGCGAGGGGGTTTAAGATTTGGGGGGGTGTTGGAGGCTTTGCACGGGGTGTTTTAGAGTTACGGTTTAGGGTTTAGGGTTTAGGGTTTAGAGTTTAGTGTTTAGGGCCAGCTTAGGGTTGGTTCATGGCCAGAGCCCTAAACTTCATAAACCCTTCAATTAGGGTTTAGGGTTTAAGGTTTAGGGTTTAGGGCCTGCAATGCTTGTTCGGAACCTTCATGGACCTTTAAACCTTAAGCTCTATAAACCTTAAGCCGTAAATCCTAAGCCCTAAACCCGAACAGTGACTGGACGGCCGAAAGAGAGCGCAGTGCTGTTGTTTGAGCACCCTGCTCCGATATTTTTCAGAAGTTTCAAAATCCGAGAACATACATGTATTGTTAGGGTTTAGGGTTTGTTAGGGTTTAGGGTCTAGGGTTTAGGGTTTAGGGTTTAGGGTTTAGGGTTTAGGGTTTGGGGTTTAGGGTTTAGGGTCCAGGGTTTAGGGTTTATCTTCGGGTTTAGGGTTTCGGGATTAGGGTATAGGGTTGAGGACCTCGTCCGGAATGGAGCGCTCCTGAGGAAGGGCGCGGCGACTGCCGTCTAAGCGATCGGTAAAGGCCGAGGGCTGGCCGGCAGTCAGTACCCTAAACCCTAAACCCTAAACCCTAAACCCTAAGCCCTAAACCCTAAACCCTAAACCCTAACTCAGTAGGGCAGAATGTCCATGTCGTAGAGTGGCTTGCGAAGCACGTCCCATGCAGGTTCCCGGACTTTGCAGGAGGTCGACAGACCGAGACAACGGTCCCAGTCCATCGTCGAATGGCCATTGACAGTGATGGCAGGGACTCGTTTAGGGGTTTAGGGTTTAGGGTTTAGGGTTTAGGGTCGTGAGATCAGAGGGCTGATATGCGGGTTGCCTAGGGGTACCATAAAGGGATTACTTTACGTCTTTAAGGGCTACTCTTTGAGCTATCAGGGGTCTGGCAAGCTGAGCTGATGCAGTCGCTGTGTATGATATGGATCGTACTGGCGTGACGGTTGCTTCAAGTGTGTATGGGCCTATATAAACGAAACCTAAGCCCTAAATCCTAAAACCACACGCCCTAAACCCGAAACCCTAAGCCCTAAACCCTGCCCCGAGAATCCAAGTCCGAAAGTCCCTAAACCCAGTGCAGAATGGCCAGGGGTTTAGATGAGTTTAGGGTTTTTAGACTTTATAAAGTTTATAGAACTTATAGAGTCTATCGAACTTATCAAACTTTTAGAGTTTATAGAACGTATAGAGTCTATATCGCATTTATAGAGTTTATAGAACTGCAACTTTATGGAAACCAACATCAACCCCAAGCCGCAACCACCCTTAGGGCTTAGGGTTGAGGGTTACACATCGCAGCAGGTGCTAACAGAGCCTGACCGGCGTCGTGTATTCGTCCCGCAGTGGCCCCAGTCCCTGTGTCCGGTGATGCGTTCAGTTTTAGGGTTTAGGGTTTTCTCAATGTAAACTGTTTTTGGATTGTTATGCGGGGCTTTCTAAGCATCAGCAGGACTTGGATTCCGTTTCTTTCTCATGCTTGCGCTCCCAGCCAACCCACGACCAGCCCAGCCCCGCCCTGCCCATCCCAGCCCTAGCCCAGCCCCGCCCAGCCCAGCCCAGCCGCGCTCAGTAACTCAGCCCAAACCCAGCCAGCCAAGCTCCAGCCCAAGCCCACCAGCGCCAGCCCAAACGCAAGGCCCAGCCCAGCCAGCCCAGCCTGGGCCGGGCCTGGGTGGGGGAAGGGTCGTAGAGCTCTCCCCTTCAGTCTGGGCTTGGGCTGGGCCCAAGTCTGATGGTGATGGTTGTGCACCATAGCATGCTAAACCTGTTCCTAACAACCCTAAACCTAAACCCTAAAAACCCTTCAAGAGTCCCAACCCTCCTTCAAAACCTAGAGAAGGCTATAAATCCCTGGAGCCCGTTGTACAGAACCATGAATCCTTAAAACCCGCTGTGAATCCTCATAGAAGCACCCCAAATGTCCCCAAACCGCATATAGCACTCGAAGCATTGCTTTGGAGGGTTGTGGAGGTTGCTGCTACTAGGGATCTCTAATCCTAAACCCCACACCCTAAACCATAGCGATCTTGCATAATCAA